ATCAAGATGAATAGCAAGAGCTGCTTTAAACATAGAAAAAGAGAGGTCAAAGTAAACATTGGCCCATTAGAAAACAGGCTGGGGAAATAATAATGAGAAACCAGGAAATGGCAAATGAATTTATTAAATACTTTGCATCAGTCTTCACAGCACGAGGTACTAAGAGCATCCCAAAAATCACTAAATATTCAAAAGAAAAAGGACAGGAAATGAAGACAATAATTATCACTAGAGAACAAAATGCTAAGGACACTAATGAGTCAAAAGACTGACAAACCTCCTGGACCTGATGGCATGCATCCTAGGATATTAGAAATAGCTGCAGAAATAATGGATGCTATCATAGTAATCTTCAGGAATCTTTAAATTCTGGAAAAGTCCAAGAGGTTTGGAAAACTGCCAATGTAACACCTTTATATGGAACGGGAAGGGGACAAAATATGGGTAATGATAGGTCAGTTAGCTTAAAGCCTATTATTGAGAAAAGGTTAAGACTATTATGAAGGTTGTAATATCAGAGCATGTAGAAATGCATGATATGATCAAACCTAGTGAGCATGGATTCATGAAAGGGAAACCCTGCCTGACAAGTTTATTAGCATTCTTTTGAGGTGGTAACAAGCAGGACAGATACAGGGGAAATAGTAGTTGTAATATATTTGAATTTTCAGAAATTGCTTGCTAAGATACCACACAAAGTTCTTCAATAAGAGCCCATGGTGTTAAGGTACTACATTAGCAAGGATAGAGGTATGGCTAACAGAAGAGATTTGGGATAGGGGGGCCATTTTCAGGATGGCAACCAAATGGTAACTAGTGGTGTACAACAGGAATCAGTGCTGGTGCCAAAATTATTCACAATATGAATTAATGAATTGAGTGAGGTAAGAGAATGTATTACAGCCATGTTTGGAGAAGACATAAAAATAGGTGGAAAGGGAAGTGCTGAGATGACACTAAGAATCTGCCAGGAATATAGACAGATTAAATGTGTGGACAAAAACTTGGTATATGGAATAGAATATGGGAAATGTTAGGTTATGCACTTTGGCAGGAAGAATAGAGGGGCTGAATATTATTTAAATTAAGGAAGACTGCAAAAACTACAGAAGAGGACTTGGGAGTCCTTGTCCATGAATCACAAAAAGTTAACATCTATGCTCAGTGGTTAATAGGGAAGACAAATGGAATATTGGCCTTTATTTTGAAGGGAATAGAATATAAAAGTTAGAGGTTCTGCTAAAACTGTACAAGGCACCAGTCAGACCACAGCTGGAATACGGTAAACAGTTTTGAGCCCCTTATTTAAGGAAAGATATACAGGTATTGGAGGCAGTTCATCAAAAGGTTCTTGAGGCTGAAACAAAGTCATAAGGGTCAGTTAAGCTGGACAGCTGGTTTGTGATCAAAGTGATGCCAACAGCGTGAGTTTAATTCATGCAATGGCTGAGGTTACCACAAAGGGCTTTCCTCAAACTTGCACCGTGCCTGAGGCATGGTGACCCTTTGGTCAAACCATTGCCAGCAGTCTGAGAGCAGGACTATGGTGACTTTACCTTACCTTTTACCAGGTATGGAAGGACTGTATTAGAAAGAGGGATAGATTGTGCCTGTACTCAGTGGAAAATAGAAGAATGACAGTTGATCTTTTAAAAACAAACAAGATTCTTAGAGGAGTTGACAAGATAGATGTGGAAAGATTGTTTCCACTTCTGGGAGAGTATAGGATCAAAGGGCATAATCTCAGAAAAAGAAGTCACACATTTAAACACAGATGAGCAAGGATCTCTTCTCTTGGAGGATTGTGATCTGTGGAATGTTTTCCCACAGAGTGTGGCTGAGGCTGGGGTCATTGAATAAATTCAAGGCTTAGACAGATAGATTTTAATCAGTAAAGGAATCAAGAGTTATAGGGAAAAGGCAGGTTAGGGAAGTTGAGGATTATCAGATCAGCCATGATCTCATCGAATGGCAGAGTAGACGTGATAGACTGAATTGCCTACTTCTGCTCCTATAGCTTGTCTTAAGTTCAGAGTATGATGGAATATTTTGCGCATGCCTGGATGACTGCAGCTCCAACAACACCACGGGGCTAGACACTATCCACGACAAAGCAGCCCACTTGATTAACATCACACCTATAAACATTCACTCTCTCACCACAGATGCTCAATAACTGTGGGTATCATCTACACGAAACTACAGAAATTCACCAAGGCTCCTTAAATAACACCTTCCAAATCAACAACTAATGTTTGGAAGAATATGGGCATCAGCTAGAGATAGCAAGAACTGCAGAGTCAGAGTCAACAGAGTGTGGAGCTGGAGGAACATAGCAGGTCAGGCAGCATCAGAGGAATAGGAAAGTCGATGTTTTGCGTTGAGACACTTCATCAGAACTGTCTGACCCGAAACATCAACTTTCCTGTTCCTCTGATGCTGCCTGACCTGCTATGTTCCTCCAGCTCCACACTGTACAGGCATCAGCTATGCAGGAATCACAACCTGCAAGTTCCCCTTCAAGTCAGTCATCGCACTGACTTTGAAATATATTGCTGTTCCTTCACTGTTACTGGGTTAGAATCTTGGAATACTCTAACAGTGTTGTCATAGAATGATAAGAGTTCTACAGCACAGAAAAATGAACTTTGGCCCTTCAAGTCCGCACCAGTCAAACCATCATGGGTCTACCTACACCAAATGGACTGCAGCAGCTCAAGAAGGTAGCTCAAAGCACAATTAAAGAATGCAAGATTTGGGAGCGAGTGGCCCAAGACTGGGAGCTGACCACTGTTTTGCTAAGATTAGGAGATGGAGCTTGCAGAGAGTAGGAGGCTGCAAGTGAAGTGGGTAAGAGGAGGTGGTTGCAGGGAAAGGAGAGAGATAATAAAGGAACACACAACTATCCAGAAACTGGGAAATCACTGAGGTAGTGAATTACTTGCAAATGAATCTGATATCATACTAAGGTTGCATATGCTCAGGTGCTACTGTATGGGAAACATTGTAGAGATGCAAGTGTGCATTGCCAATTCATCATTTGGAAGTACAAAACTTGGGTATTGTTGGAAGTAAGCACATTATTCCAAAGCTTTCCATCTTACACTCATCAGGACAATTTGCAAGAAAAAACAAAGCAAATATTAAAATGACGGAGGAGAGTTTTGATTGGTTCATAAGTGGTCTCCCATTGAATTAATCCAAAAAAGTCATATTGGACTTGAAACATTAACTCCATTTCTCTCCCCATATTTGTTGAGTTTCTCTAGTTTTGTTTTACTTCAGATCTCCAGCATTTTATGAGTTCAGTACATAGTGAGCCTGACAATCCAAAATTAATTGTCTATATAACATTTTTTCCACATTCAAGCCTATGTAGCAAAGTTGTCCAATTGCAGAATCATATCTAGTGTCATTCATTGTGTTGATAATTTTGTAAATGCAGGCTAGTTGGGTATGGTCAGCATTTTTCTTGTTGCAACAGCTGACACTTAGGTGCTTGATAAATCTGCCAGTATTCGGGATTACACCGGCACTGGAATTCATATACCACATTGATGTGAAACAAACTTTTTTGTGCCTTAGTGCCAGCAACCAATTAATTGCAAACACCAGTTCTGCATAATAGCAAGTAAAAGCAAGGGAAAGCAATAGCCTAGTGGTAGTATTGCTGGAGTATTAATGCAGAAACCCAGATAACCCTCTGGGGGCCTGGGTTCAAATCCTGCCACGGCAGATGGTGAATTTGAATTCAATAATTTAAAAAAAAAAAAAAAATCTGGAATTAAAGAATCTAGTGATTGTCAGGAAAAACCCATCTGGTTCACTCATGTCCTTTAGGAAAGGAAACTGCCATCCTTAACTGGTCTGGCCTACATGTGACTCCAGGCCCACAACAATGTGGTTGACTCTTAACTGCCCTCTGGGCAATTTGGGATGGGCAATAAATGCTGCAGAGTAGCAATGCCCAGATCCTGTTAATGAATAAAGGAATACAGCTAGTTTTCCCAATTACTTAACCCTTGACATACCCCAACCTTCTTGGGCAAACAAGGGTAGGCTTGGCACTCTACAACATCAAAAATGACAGTTTTAGCCTATTCATGAAGGAAACACAGAAAATAGCAGCAGGAGTAGGACATCCAGCCTTTCAAGCCAGCTCCACCATTCACCACAATCATGGCTAATTATCCAACTCAATAGCCTATTCCCACTCCTCCTCCCACCCTATATCCTTTAATCCCTTTAAACCCCAACCGCAAAATGTAAGAACTTCTTGACAATCAGACAATGGTTTGGCCTTGACTACTTTCTGTGGTAGCAGATTCCACAGGCTTACACACTCAGGGTGAAGAAATTTCTCATCACATTCCTGAGTAGTTTACTCTATATCCCTTGACTGTGAGCCCTGATCTACACTCCTCTGCCATCGGAAATGTCTGTCATGCATCTATACTGTTTAGTCCTGTTACAATTTTATGGACTTACTGGGCTAATTCCTGGATAAAACAGATTGCTTTATGAAGAAGGTTGAACATGTTGAGCTTATACTCACTGATTTTAGAAGATGGAAAAATGATCATTCTAAAACACAAGATTCTGAGGGAGCCTGACAGGGTATATGATGAGAGGATTTTCCCTTAGCGGGGAAATTGATACCATGGAGCATGGTTTGAAATGAGAACACTCCTTTTTAAGACTAAGATGAAGGTGGTTAACAATCTTGGGAATTCACTTCTCCAGACAGCAGTGGAGGCTACTAAATATATTCAATACTGAACTAACAGATTTTTATCCTACAAAGGGATTCAAGGATTATGGGGTAGGCAGGAAAGTGTAGTTAAGGACACAATCAGATTAGCCGTGCCAATATTGAATGCATAGTCGGCCAAATAGCCTTCACCTGCCCTGATTTCTAATAAATTTACCAGAATTATTAAACAATTGCACAGAAACATATGTAAGCAAATACATTCAAGTATTCTGGCATAAACTGAAAGACAGCTTTTCATCATTTTCTTTTAATCTTTGATTAGACATAGCATATCGCCATACAGCAGTTAGTTTTAAAAAAAATACATTCAAAAAAATCTTCAGATCATGTGCCCAGAAACAGGTAGTATTCCCAAGAAACCTGCTTATACAATGAGTCCACATCAATAAATGGAAAAATTCAATTTAGCAACCTGCTTCAAAACCCATCAATGCGTACATGGAATATTAATGTTAGCACTTATTGTACAATAAATTGCTACGCAGACTTTTTTTCAAATTGTCTCTGTACATTTAAATAAACTGTGTTTATTGTAGTGCACCTAGAAAGCCCAAGCCTGCAAAATACTTTCCAGTACCATTTGAAATACAAATGGTTAAGATTTGCCCTGCATTGTAATTGCCAATAGCTAAAAAGTGCACACACCTCCTCAGTATACTAAGAATATCCCCAGTGTTGCCTGTCATAAAACACCCCAAAAAAGCTCTTAGTACTGATCTTAGCTGGTAGATTGACCAGTAATTGAATATTACAATTTGGCAAAATCAGATTAGAAAACATTACCGTATGTAAAACATACATTAAGGAATTATACACAGATTATATTTACATTGCTTGAGGACATATTATTTAATGTATTAAGTTCTTTATTTATCTGTACATCACTAGTGTTCTGAAACACTGGGTGTGATCATATGACCTCTATTAACGGCAGGTGTAGGACCATTATTAGTCCATGTTCATCAACTGGGAAGAATCAACATTAATACTTTAGCTTTTACCTTTGAGTAAATCAGTAAAAAAAAAATAAATTAAACAAAGTCTGGTCACCATTTTGTATGGATTCAGCAACAATATACAGTATTAGGACTTCTACTATACTAAATAGTAAAACAGGTCGCAAGATAGGTTTGCCAACTATGTGCATGAAATGGAAGTTGCCTAAAAATATTGACACTTACAGAAAAAGTACTGCTAAGTCCCTCAGGCAAATATTGTTTCAAAAGAACCCAGTGTATAACTACGGTATACTCAAGTCTTTTTTTTTGTTATTACCAGGAGACATGCTTCCCTGCATCTGTCTGTACTACATGTTATGCAAAACATCTGCAGCAGAGCCATCTGCTTTCAAGATTGATAACCATTGGAAACAAATACAGATAGTTTTAAAAACCAGAAGAAAATAAGTGCAAAGTATACCAATATTCTGGTTGACATAAGGTACAAAAAAAACTTAAAATGTATTTTATTTTCACGTAGTGGGTTTTGGTAGAGTTGCATTTCATATGTTCACTTCTTTCAGCTTCTTCCAAATATGGTTTCATACTCTGTTAAGATCAAGTCCACAATCTGATTCTGGTATACTGTGTGAACTGCAATATTTCCTGTTTCTTTCTCTGGCCTCAGAAGGGTGGGGCCAAATACTATGGCGACACTTTGATTGGTCATCCGGTTTACTTCAGAACGGGCAACAACCCTGTGAGAAATTAAAGACAAAAATTCAAGAAATCAGCACCTACATAGTCAAACATTACACAGTTACTAATAGTATACACAAAATAGAATGTCCAAGTTACTGATGTCCAAATGTTCGCATTATTAAAAGACTTTGATCTATTAATTTCAAGTGATGCACATCTTGAAGCTTTTCTTACGCTTAATAATAAATGGTTGCATATAGACAAATGACAAGGTTACAACATTATATCAGTTAAATGAATTTTGGTTTTTTGTTTTGATGATCTGAAACACTCCCACAGCTGCAACATGGTAGTGTCAATTAACTGCTTTTACAAATCTGTGTTTTAAAGTTATACAGGCACAACACCCACTTTTGAGCTAGAATGTAGGGCACATTGTTGGGGCAAAATATAGAAAGCATCTACTCTATATAATATACCATGGCTGACCTGGGAGAGATTTGTGATGACAATGGCCACCTGAATTGAGAAAATCTTATTTCCGAAAGTTATCTCAATGAGTTTTAAGCCTTGCAAATAAAGTCCAACAGCTCAAATAGCATATCAACAATATTACTGGGACTGGCATCTGTAACAACCATTTGTTGAGCAAGAAAATGACTTTCACTATGTTATTCAGTCAGTTTTAGTGAAGGGAAAAATGTTTATTATTAGTGCATAAATCTGCCACAACATTTAGTGATGAAAAGGTACTTGATAAATTGTGAATGGCCACAACGTGCTGGCTAATTTATGCTGCTCCACTGTTAGCTGTGTGAAAACATTATGTCGCATTTAACAGTCATGTGATTTTAATGAAGATGCTGTAAGTTGCATATTAATTGTTCATTAAACTTGCCAGAACAAGTTAAGTTTAGTAACTACTAATAGAAGTACCTATTAACATGATATTTGTTATGGAGTGTCACTCTCTTGCATACAGTGTAAACAGCTAGAAATGTGCCTTGGCATGCTTCTGCTTTTAAATTGTTTTAGATGATTTTAAAAATGTCAAACATTAAAGCAATGAGTTTTTTTTTTAATCCTCTATTAGTAGCTCCCACTGTCAGCAACTTGTAGACAAACATTTAAAGATGTAAACGTGCAGAAACAAGAATAATAATGTGTTTGCTACAAGTTGTCCTACTAGCTCAGATGTAAACATTATTACTTACACTGAGTTTTGAGATTTAATAAAGCATTATGCAAAAATGAACATTTTAAATAAGCAAAGAATTTTAATACATGAATTACTATAGATAAGGGCTTATTTTTACTCAAAATTACCAAACACAGCTAAAAGTTATGACAGTTACAGTTAGTACTTATTTTTAAATCACAGCTGTGTACCACTTTAAGAAAACTAATCATAGATGAGAATTAGTTGACACTTACTTCACAAGGTGTTTGAATAGAACTTGCATAGTGTCATGGTTTGGTTTAGGTAAGAGTCTGATTAGGTCGGCGATACCCTCAACACGATGCTTGTAGTCTGAAATTTCTGAAAATTATTAAATAGAACTGGTTTTATTTGATTCGATTTACTATTATCACAAGTACCAAGATACAGTAAAGACTATTGTTTTGCATGCTAGTCAGATCATACCTTACATGAGTACATCAAGGTAACAGAACAGAATGCAGAATATAGTGTTGCAGCTATAGAGAAGGCGCAGAGAAAGATTAACTCTAGTATATGAGAAGACCGTTCATAAGATTGATAACAGCAGGGAAGAAGTTGTTCTTGAATCTTTTGGTACATGTTTTCAAGTCTTTGTATCTTCTGCCCAATGGAAGAGAGTAGAAGAGAGTACAACCGGGCTGGAAGGAGTCTTTGATTACATTGGCTGCTTTCCTGAGGCTGGGGTAAGTGTAGACAAAGTCAATGGAAGGAAGGTTGGTTGCCTTGTACACGCCCTTTTGTGTGTAAACACATACATAATACTAGTTATCCTCTGCAACAAAACTCACTTAATGCATTAACTGGCCCAGACTGAGCCAGAATACGGTCTAGCTCTCAAGTAAAAACAACTTTGTAGATTTCAGAATGGAATATCATTCCTCTTTAAGGATTAGCTATCATAAAGATTTATCACAGTATCAACAAAGGTCAACTGAACAAAAAAGGTATCTACTTCAAACATTATCTTGTTTTGTCTCATCACAGATGTTAACTGACCCGTTTTGTATTTCTACCACCTTCTGTTTAACAAATTAACTGTGTACCATCTGCTAGATTTTACACCACACTTGTTTGCTAACGTGAAAGCCAAAATTAAAAAATAAAATTTATATTTGCAGTTTTTTCCCCAAAAATTCATTTTCAGGATGTTGATATCACTGGCAAAATTGGCATTTGTCATTCGTCAGTTACCCTTGGAAAGGTGGTAATGGGCCTTCTGCTTAACAAGCTACATTTGTGTGGTGATGGTACTTGCACAATACGGTTAGAGAGGTAGCTCCAGGATTCTGATCCAACAAGAATAAAGAAACAGTGATGTGCAACTTGCAGTGGAACCTGGATAAATGATTTTTAAAAAAAGAATCCTGACAGCGTGCAAGCAGGTCATTTGGCCCATTGAGTCCACACCCACCCTCCAAACAGCATCCCAACTAGACTCAACCCCTATCCCATACTTATAACCCTGCATCTCCCATGGCTAACCCACCTAGCCTGTATATCCACGGACACTATGTGCAATTTAACTTGGCCAGTCCACCTAACCTGCACAGCTCTGCACTGTAGGAGGAAACCGGAAACCCACGCAGACACAGGGAGAATGTGCAAACTCCACACAGACAGTCGCCCAAGGCTGGAATTGAACCCAGGTCCCTGGTGCTGTGAGGCAGCAGTGCTAACCACTAAATCACTGAGCCACCTTATCATGTTTCCATATATAGAAATCATGGGAAAATATGATGGTACTGAAGACAGCTTGGCGAAATGCAGTGGTGCATCTATAAGTTCCTTGACGGCGCTCAAGATAGAAACATAGGAGCAGGAGTAAGTCTCAGCCCTTGAAGCGTTCCCCGCCATTAACATGATCATGGCGGATCGAACACCTTTTTTTTTTTATGCACACTATCCTCATAACCCTTTACACCATTGGTAATGAGACATCTATCAAACTCTACTTTCAACATACCAAAAGCCTAAGCACCCACAGGCCTTTGGGATAGAGATGCCCAAATATTCACCACAGCGTAAAAAAAAAAATCTCCTCTTCACAGTCCTAATTCTCCAACCAGGGAAAACATCTTACCAGACCATAAAATATCAATCCTCTGACCAGTTTCAGTAGCCACAGTATTTATGTGACTGATCCATGCTGTTACAAGTTGGGTGTCACAAAGATCAATGCCAGGTACACAACTGTTCACAATCTATGAAAATGATTTGGTTTAAAAAAAAAACAAAGAACTATGGATGCTGGAAATCAGAAACAAAATCAAAAATTGCTAGAAAAACTCAGTGGGTCAGGCAGCATCTGTGGAGAGAAAACAGTTAATGTTTCAAGTCCAGTGACCCTTCTTCAGATGCTACCCGACATGCTGAATTTTTCCAGAAAGTTTTGATTTTGTAAATGATTGGGTTGTTTGGACAACTATAATATTTGCAAATTTGATTATGACATCAAACTGTGTGAATGCTAAAATGTGACAGGTAGAATGTATTGTGAATAAATGTGGTTATACACTTTAATAAAAAGGAAGCAAAGTTAGAATATTTGGAAAGTACAGGTGTCCAAAGAGAAGTAGGCATGCTTGTTCATAAGTCACTAAAAGTTAGCATGCATGTGCAGCACACAATTAGAATGGCAAATGGCATGTCTGCCTTACTCGCAAGGGGATTTGAATTATTCATTTTGGCAGAAAGAATGAAAATGCATATTATCTAAATGGTCAGATGTTTAAGAGCTCTGTCCTGGTGCATGAGTCACAGAATATTAATATGTAGGTATAGCAATTAATCAGGGAAGCTAACAGAATGTTATGTGTTATTGTGAGGGTAATTGAATGCATGATAGCAGAGACTATTCTTCAGTTATACAGGGCATTGATGATGCAGTCTTTGGAATATTGTGTACACAGTACTGATCACTGTATTTACAGAAGGTTGTTAACGCATTGGAAGCAGTTCAGAGAAGGTTTACTTGACTAATACCTGGAATGAGTATATTGCTTTATGAGAAGAAGCTAGGCAGGCTAGTCATTTATCTTTTGGAACAATCAGAGGTGACTTAATTGAAACGTGGAAGATCCAGAGGGGATTTGACCAAGTGGACGTGGAAAGAATGTTTCTTCTTCAGATAATTTAGAACCAGAGGTCCTTGTTTAAGAGAGAGATGAGGAATTTTTTTTCCTGTCAGGTGGTTAAGAATCTTTAGAATTCCATTGCTCAAAAGACAATGGGTGCAGAATATTTAAATATTTTTAAGACAGAGGTAGATAGATTCTTGATTACCTAGGGAATGAAATATTAATCAGGAATGTGTAGAAATGTAAAGGTGAGGTTAAAATCAGTTCAGCCAAGATCTAACTGAATAATAGGACAGGCTGGGAGGGCTGGGTACCGTACTCTAGTTCCTAAGTTCAAGTACCAGAGTAAAGGTGTTTTGTTGCAGTTGTGTAGAACATTTTTGAGACTTCAGAAACAAAAAGAGAAATTGCTGGAAAAGCTCAGCAGGTCTGGTAGCATCTGTGAAGAGAAATCAGAGTTAACGTTTCGGGTCTGGTGACCCTTCCTCAGAACTTGAGACTTCATTTGGCAAATTGTGAACATTTTTGGTCTGATTATCCAAGGAGGGATATACATGCCATTGAGGGGTGCAACATTCGCTAGATTAATCCTGGGATGGTCATATTGTTTTACAAGGAGAGATGGACGAGAGACTGATTCACATCCCTCCGTGTTTAAAGAAATGAAGGGTGACCTCATTGAAATTGTGATAGGATGGATACAGATGATGCGCTTCCCTTGGCTGAAATGTCTAAAACCATGGGACATAATCTCAGAATAACTAGTAGGCATTTAAGATTGATATGAGGAGGAACTTCTTCACTCAGAGGCTGGTGAATCTTTGGAATTCTCTCACTCAGAGGGCTTGGGATCTCAAGCATCAAGCATGTTCAAGACAGAAGTCAATAGATTTCTGGAGATAACGAGAAAGGGACATGGTCATCAACAACGAACCAGCTCGGTGAGCCAACCAACCAGGACATGGTGATTGTGGGGTAAGTGTCATTGAGGTAGCTGATCAATCACAATCTAAGTGAAAGACAGAGCAGGCTCAATAAGCTAAATGGCTTACTTCTGCTTCTATGATCCAGTATAGTTTCTGGTCAATGGTCACCTCCAGGAACTTGATAGCTTGAAATTTGCTAATGGCAATACATTTGGATAATAAAGGAGGTGGTCATACATTTTCTTGCTCAAGATAATCATTGCCTGATACACATTGTGGATGCGACGTATTACAGATCAACCTAAGCCAGAATGTTGTTGATTTTTGCAGCATGCCTGCATGAACTGCTTCATTGTAATTTTGGAAAAATTGTCAAATAAAAATGCAGGAAAGTTGATCAATGCAATCATTAGCCAATAGCTATACTTTTGACTTTATGGTGGAGCAGATGAAGATAAATGGGCACTGCCATAAGTGCAATCTCTAAACTGCTTGCTCAGATGTATATATAGAAGATCCCAAAAAAAGCAATGGCATTTCTTACATGAAATGGGCTGCATTCCCTTTTCATGACATACATATTTGGAAAAATATATCTATTAGAAAAACTGGCAGAGTCAATTTGTCCTTGAAAACAAAAATGGGTGCTAAAAGTGACACTGGATTCACAGGTTGAAAACCATTCTTTCACTGTAGTTAAAGGATGTTCTATGAAAAGTGAAAAGCAAACAGTGGAGTATCTGAATGGTGAAACAGACCGCATAAAACAAAAAATGAAAATTTTGTTTTTTAATTTCTCTAAAAATCTATTATTGACTTTGATTTTTATGATTTCCCAATGAGTCAGGTTCAGATGTTAACAGTGTAAGTAGTTAGAAATTTGTTGCAACCTAAAAACAAATTGGCTGGAGGAACACTTGGGACTTAATGGAATGTTGCAAATGCCTCTCTCTGGCCAAACTGTGTACTACAAGCCTTTGTAAAACATGATAATATATGGATACATGCTACCGAAACACTGATGAGTAGAATTGATAAGACATAATTTCACTAAAAGGTGCAAATTCAGTTTATCACTAGTTAATGACAGATGCCACAAAATTAACTGCACTCATTAAACGTGTGGTAAGACTTTATAGAAATGATTCTAAATTGGACGCTGGGACCCAAAATATACATTTCTAGTTATCTGTTTTCTTTGTTGTAGGAAAAGCCTTCCTTGTTGACAGCACTATTCCACAAGAAGTTTGTCCAGCTAAGAAACTCAACAGGATGGGGATAATCAAGGGTGAAACATCAACATTACATTTTGGGAAGCAGTGGAGTAGTGGCATTCTTTCAGAACAGTGATCTTGAGACCCAGGATTGTGAGCCTTTAAAACTCTCTTCCTCAAAAGGTACTGGAAGCAGAATCTCTGAATATTTTTAAGGCTGAGGTAGATAGGTTCTTGATATGCAAGGATAACAGCTTATTGGATGTAGGTGGTAATGTGAAGTAATCACATTATTGGTGAAGCAGGATTAAGGGTTGAGTGGCCTATTCCTCACTTGTATGTTCATATATGCATGTCTGCATATCTAGTATAAAAGATGATAGTTGTAGTGAGGGACATAGGACCAGGAGAAGACCAAACAGCCTTTTGAGCCTGACACCATTCAATATGATCATGGCCAATCAAATATTTCAATGCTTTTCAGCCACCCCATCACCATAACCACTGATAATTAGAAATTTACCAATCTCTACCTTAAACATCTCAAAGACTGAGCCTCCACAGACCTCTGTGGTTGATAACTCCAAAGTTTCACAACTCCATGTGAAAAAATGCTCCTTATCTTGGACCCAAGGCACATCCACCTTATTTTTAAATTGTGTCCCGTGGTTCTGGACTTCCCATACCAGGTGAAACATCTTTCCTCCATCTAACCATATAAGTATTTCGTAGGTTTCAATTAGATCACTTTCCATGCTTTGAAAGTGTAGAGAATACAGACCTAGTTTTCCCGAACTCTTCACAGGATGGTACCTTCCCCCCACAATCCAGGGAACAAGTCTGGTGGACCTTCATCATACTCCCACTAAGGCAATAATATCTTTCCTGATATAAGGGAACAAACTGCACAACAGTACTCCAGTTGAGGTGTAACCAAGCTCCTGTACTACTGAAACATGACCTTTCTCAAATCCCTACGTGATGAAGGCTAACCTTACAGCTTAGAGGTAGTAAGAACTGCCGATGCTAGAGTCAGACATAACACAGTGTGGAGCTGGAGGAGCACAGCAGGCCAGGCAGCATCAGAGGAGCAGGAAAATTGACGTATCGGTTCGGGACCCTTCTTCAGAAAACCACTGAGGTCTTTCTGGAGGGAGCAGAATAACTTCTTCAATGTGGGCATCCCTAGAAGAGGCTTTGCAGTGGGGTTATAACTCACTTAGAGATAGGAAGAACTGCAGATGCTAGAGTCAGAGATAACACAGTGTGGAGCTGGAGGAGCACAGCAGACCAGGCAGCATCAGAGGAGCAGGAAAGTTGACATTTTGGGTTGTGACCCCTCTTCAGAAAACTCAGAAACCTTACAGCTTTTTGCTTGCACACGTTAACCTGCAGTGATTTGTTCACAAGGAAACACTGATGCTTTTGTGCATCTACACTTCCCACCTCTTACTATTTAAGAAATACTCTCCATTGGTCATACTCTCCTATCAAAGTGGATAACCTCACATTTTTCTATATTATATTTCATCTGCCATATTTCTGTCCATTCACTGAGCCTGTCCAAATGTTACTGGCTCAGAATTGACTGCATGACAGACAAGATCCCTGGAAAAACACGAATGACGATTGATTCCTGCAGCAATGTCCTGGGAGACTGATCTTCAGCAAACGTGAACATCTTGCGGTGTAATCAGGTATCAGTTTTGATGCAAGAGTTTTTCCTTTAACCTCCATTGATATAAGCTTTCTGTTTAATTTCAACCATTTCCTTTATTTTCACAACAAGACTGTCAACATCAAAGTGAGGAGATAAATAGTGCTATCGCTTGTGCAAGTGATTTTGCATTCCGTTACCAATTTCCAAGTTTCAAATTTGCATAAAAAGTCTCAAGAGTGAATATCAGTTTCGGAGTATTATTTTCCCGCTAAATTGCCAAGCCATTTCATGTCAGAAAATCTGCAAACAATTTGTACACAGCAAACTCCCAAAGACAGTTGCATGGTTATAACCAAATAACCCTGTTTGTGTGATGTTCATTGTGGGCTAATTCCCCTTCCCTTTGAAGTTATGCTGTGATTTTGTTTTTAAAACACCATGAAAGGGTCTTGGTTTAGCATCTCCGCTGACAGTACAGCACTCTCCCAGTACTGCAGTACAAGGTTGACCCAGATTGTTGTAGTCATGCTCTGAACTGGGTCTCAGAATTAAGATTGCTGCATATTGAACCATGTTGGCTTCACAATGATCAAATGATCATAACTTCCTCCAAATCAGCAATTTTAAAAATGTCATAAAGACACCATTAATCTGTGTTTTTCACTTACTGACTGCATTGACAAAGTCATTAAAGAGATGATACGTGAACAGAGGTTCTGGTAATTCTCTGAAAAACATCTTGAGAGCCCCAGTAATGACATTGATATCCTCCCATTTACTGTCCTTCAAGTCCAGCTTCTCATCTGTAAGGAAGACATAATTGATTTGTACGTTTAATGTGGGATTGAAAATAGCATTTCACAAATACTGTGCTTTAACAAATTATTTCAGAAGACTAAATAATACTTTTTGGGTACATCATATTTTAGGCTGCGATCAAACCTGAGCCAAACTGAATGAAAGAACGGCATTTCATTTTCCACTTGGACACTTTAGATCCTTCAGGGCTCAATACGAAGTTGATCAATTTCAGCTATAAATTGTGTCCTCCAATTTAATACCATATATCACCCCCTCCCTATCTAAACTTTCTGCCACCAGCCAATCCTATTCTTCATCTAACTGTTCTCTACTACCATTTTCCCTTTGCTTTTTGCTCTGGGACACCTTTCTTACCTACTCCTCCAACCCCCTCCTTTTTTACAGCAAACAAACCCATCGTTTTTCCAGCCCCCTTCAATCCTGAACTAGAATCATATTGAAACATTAACTCTGTTTTTCAGAAGGAGCCAGGCCTGCTGAAGTTCTCCAGCGCTTTCTACTATTATGAGCCAATTGAATCAAATCCTCCAATAATCAGGAAAGAAACAACAATCGGACTTGAGTCAAAACATGATTATTTTTCCCATTTTTCATAACGTTAGTGTAGTATAATCATCATACAATTCCCACAGTGCAGAAAGAGACCATCGGCCTATCAAGTCTACACTGACCCTCTGACGAGCATCCCACCCAAACCAGGCTTTGGCTATACACAGGCCCAGCAGAGGCATGACATTTATCCTAATTTCAATATTTAGCTGCATAGGCAGCCAGACATTATTGTAGGTAATCAGTGTCTTCCAGGATCAACTTCCATTTTCAAAGGTTTGGGGGCTCAGGGAGATACACAGTTCTCAACCATCTTGTGCAGCCCCAAAACTGGAAAAGAGCTTCACAGAAAGCTTTTGTGGGGAACGGATTCCCCTATCCATTTTCTGATTTCTGGTAAGGCAATCAGCTAATTCTGCTCAGGTCTCAACAGGAATTCTGAGCATTACATCTTTGAAATTCAGCTCAAATCACATTTAGTTTTACAAATGCTGATGTATGCTCATGCACAAATTGCTGACTTTTATTACAGTTGTGACAATGTGGCATACATCCATGTGTTTTGTTTAAACATATGTTTTGCAGTCTGTACTATCTCCAAGACGCACTGCAGAAAATCACCGAAGATCGTTAGACAACACCTTCCAAACCCATGACCACTTCCATCTAGAAAGACAAGGGTAGCAGATATATGGGAACATCACCATCTGCAAGTTCCCCTCCAAGCCACTCACCATCCTGACTTGAAATTATATCACTGTTCCTTCCTTGTCGCTGGGTCAAAATCCTGGAATTCCCTCCCTCAGGGCTCTGTCAGTCTACCTACAGCACATGAATTACAGCAGTTCAAGAAGACAGCTCACCACCATCTTCTCAAGGGCAGCTAGAGATAGGGAATAAATACTGGCCCAGTCAGGAACACCCGCATCCCACAAGTGAATAAAAAAAATTTGTATTTGTACATTTACATTTATGGATCTTTCTTATATATCACCAACCCTTTCCATTTAGCCTGTCCTCCTTAATTGGAGTCTATAATTGCCCATTTAACAGAACAACCTGAACATTAAGTAAACACCTGTTATGAAGGAAAACCCTATGATGGAGTCACATGACAAGTAAAAGTAGATGGCTATGGTTATTCAAAGCCAAACATTGCAGCCACAACTTAGTCTTAAGAATAAATCATTAAGTTTTTGTGTAAGTTATAAACTCTAGCATCTAAGGTCTGTTATTTGTAAAGTTGGCTTAGGAACAATTTAGCAATTTTGAGGGTCATTGAATGTTTTAATTTCACTGTGTTGCAAATCCAGTGATAGCGAGGCTGATTTGGTTTGGCTTGCTATACTTGAGTTGTAACATTATGCTTTGTTTCTTGTTAGCCAGCTAAGCTTCTATCCATGCTAATACATTACTTTCTACACCATTAACTCCTATTTTTCACAATAAACTTCAATGTGGCACATTGGAAAATGCCTTATGGTAATCTGGATGCATGTCATCCACAGCATGCATTACGTCTTCAGTAGATTGGTCAAACATGATGCCACTTTCACAAAACCATGCTTACCTTGTCTGATTACCTTGAATTTATCTAGGCACGCAACTAATGTTTAACTGATTTACTGGAGTTCTTTGAAGAACTAATGTGTTCTGGATAAAGGGAAACTGGTGTACACAAGCTCATTTACAACTGAAACTGGTAAGCTCCAAGTTTGGGCTGACAAGTGTCAGGTAACATTTGTGCCACTTGAATCCCAGTCAATGATTATCTCCACAGAAACTTCATATTTGTTCTCATCTTAAGTATGCTAAGGTTCATGTGTATAATTCAGTATCAAAAAAAATCTTTCTTGATATACACATAAATTACTAAAACGCCCAATGTCTTCCTCACGTCAGCTTTACAGTAATATAAAGTCCAGTTTATAATTACATCTAATTTTGTTCACAAACAACTCTTTAGTCTACGGCTATGAAATTCTAAGTGAAGAAAGTTTAAAAAGCAAAACTGCTACCAACAACATAATTCCTTGTTTTACAGTTTTATACCATTAATTGAGTTGTTCTTGATTTTGTCAGGGTTCTTTGATTGAAAACTTGGTGCTGTATACAAGGAAGAAAAGTCTGAGAGCAATTAACTTTGTGGCATCATTCCATAGTTAGAACAAGAGAATCCTTAGCAGAGACCCGAAAGTAAATTACTTTCCAGGCCTAATGAAATCCTAGAAGCTTACTGTAGAGGAGACGGCCATTTGGCTGATTGTGCTTGTACCAGCTCCTGAAAGAGTAACCCAGCTAGGTCCCATTCTCTAGCCCTATCTTTGTAGGCTTGCAAACGTATCACTTTCAAATATACATCTAGCTCTCTTCTGAACCCTCCTATGGAATATGCCTCCATCACTCTCCCAGGCAGCATATTCCAAATCCTAACAACACTGAGTAAAGAAATTTTTCCTAATCTCACTCCTAGCTCTCTTGCTGACAATCTTGAAATTGTGACCCCTAGTTAATGAAACACCAGCTAATGGAAACAGAATATCCTTTACCCTGCAAGAATTGTTCATAATTTTGAACATCTCAATAAAGTCACCTCTTAATCTCGCGGCTCCAAGGAGAACATGCCCAATTTCTCGAATCTTTCCTTGTATCTAAAACCCCTTATTCCTGGTATCATTCTAGTAAAGCTTCTTTTCACTCTCTTCAGGGCTTTAATATTCTTCCTTAAATAAGGTACCCAAAACAAATGTGGTCTGACCAGTGACCAGGAAGTCTGACCTCTTATATTGTACTCGCTTGCATTTTGTGCACAATATTCAAATACCCTGAATTTGCAAGTGTGCTTATCCAAATTTACCTACATTGTGCTCTCTTGTCGACTATACACAATGTCACCTTAAAAAGATCACATGCTTTATAAAATGTCTTACCATGGTTGACTGCAAAGCGAAGCTTTTGTATGACAGCCAGGTTACCACTCACTCTGTACAAACCATCAACGTTTAAGCCTAATGACATAAGATGAAAAATGTAAGTACAGGTAAGGACTTTAAGAACATGAGCTAAGGGAAATAAACAAAAACTGAAATTGCTGGAGAAACTCAGAATTGTAGGGTTACTGGACTCAAAACGTTAACTCCTTTTTCTCTCCACAGATTCAATAAAATTCATTTCAATAAAAAAATCTGAAATTAAGAGTCTAATGACGACCTTGAAGCCATTGTTGATTGTCATAAAAACTCATCTGGTTCACTAATGTCCTTTAGGGAAGGAAACTGCTATTCTTACCTGGTCTGGCCTACATGTGACTCCAGACCCACAACAATGTGGCTGACTCTAACTGCCCTATGGGCAATAGATGCTGGACCACCCAGCGACGTCCACATCCTGTGAACGAATTTTAAAATTGCTGCCAAACCTGCTGTGTTTCTCCAGGAATTTCTATTTTTGTTTATTTCAGTCTCCAGCATCCACAAATCTTTGTTTCATTCTAGACTAAGAGACCTGAATTGTGAAAATGTTAATTAATTTTTTTTCAAGATTTCAATTATTTTCATTCATACAAAAAGAAAGTATTAGAGCAAAATGTGATTCGTTCAAATTTATTCCAAATTAATGGAAGCACCAAGATAGTGGAATTAAAAATAACATTTTCTTTTGCAATTTTGTGCCATTACTTTGAAAGGGTAAACCGTTCTCATTGTATTAGAAAATCTTTCACAAATTATATTACAGTATAGTCTTTTAAAGAATCAACTCTTAGAATGCCATACCCTCTCTCTCCACGTGGTCAATACACATCATCACAAATTTTGGTACAGTTGAATTCTCTCTTTGACAAAGACTACTTAGATTGCATCCAAATACTTGATCTGTATAAAACAAAAAAGTGGTAGGTAAAGTAATTTGTTTTCATGTAATAGTCCAAATTGAGTTAAAGGACAACAGTGAGGCTCATAATCATCACAGTTAAGGAATAAATCAGAAAATAACTTTGGCACCAGCAGATGTTAACTGCAGAAATCAGTAAGTTTCTATCCAAGATACCCTGTTGTTTGACAGGTTGTATAGGTATCTTTACACGAAACATAGCATTCAAATACATAATGGGTGTGAAGTTGGGGTACTTACCATTAAAAACACCAGAAAAGTTGTTATCCATTCAAGTGTAAAGCAAATTTTAAGTTTGCAAAACTTAATTACTAAAACATTTTCAGTTTCAGATGGTTATATTTACAGTCTTATTCATTCTGATTTTAAATAATGTCAGAGATTTTAAGCTTTTTCTTTCTGTCCCTTAGAGTCCAGATGTTAATCTGTATCTCTTAATCCCACCTTTATTTCTGAATACAGCTTGGCATTGAATTAAATATTTTAACTTATATTTTCTGGTTTAGACATTGCAACATAGTGGAAATTCTTTAATGTGATGTGACAAAATGCCATCCTATTTGTTACTCCTTTTGCACAGACCACAGATCTCTTGTAGGCTGCACGAGATTGCTTGATAGCTGCAAACTGCTCTGTAAATGGCCAAAGAAAGTCAATGGGTAACTATAAGTGCAATGAAATGTATGTGCTGCTCATCTGCCAACGATTACAAAAGCTGGACCAATATTTTCTTAATAACACTTTCCCTATGCAGATTTATTGAGTTTAGGAAACCACGAGTTTAATTATTTTCTTAATGAATTCCTTTGTAATCATGAGCCCTTTGATAAAATGCTTTTCAGCTAATATAACATTCTCAGGATACAAATATTACAAGATTTTTTTGAAGAAAACAATTTTGGTTCATACGGAGTGAGGTGAGAGGAAATTGCAGACTCACTGGCCTTAATTTTCAAAGTCTTCCTAGATTTGGATGGTGCCAAAAGACTTGAGAAATGCAAATGTTATATCGTTGTACAAGGTGTAAAGATAATCCCAGCATCTAGAATATAGTCAATTTAGTTTTAGCAGTGGCAGGCTTTCAGAAACAAAAGTAATAGTCACTTGGACAAATGAAGTTAATGAAGAAAAGTCAGCATGTTCAGGGCAAATCTTGTTTCAAAAACCTGCTTGAATGTTTTGTTGCAGCAACAGAGATTGATGAGGGCAATACTGTTGATGTGGTGTTCACAAACTTCCAAATGGCATTTGATAAAGTGCCATACAGCAGACTCATGGAATAGGAACATAAAATTGACTGAATAGCAGGAAAGAGACAGTAGTACTGAAAGGTTCTTCATCAAGCTGGGGAAAGGTTCATAGGGAATTTCCTGAAAAGTCAGTATTAGGACCCCTGTTCATAATGAAGCATTTAATGAGCTAGATCTTGGAATACAGGACAGTGCAGAAACTCAAAAGGACATGGACAGGTTAGTGGAATAAACTGGCAAATGAAATCTAATGGGGAGAAATGTGAAGTGATTCATTTTGTTGAAATAAATTAAAAAGATAACATAAAGGGTCCAATTCTAAATACCCCACAGAAGCATTCAAAAGGCAGGGCAGGTTGATAAAGCATTTGGGATCTTAGCCTTTAAAAATAGGAAACTGGTTTGATCTCAACCAGAGTACTGCATTCAGATACAAATTGAGGATGATGTCAAGACATTACAGAGGGTGCAGAAAGATTCAAGACAATGGTTCCACATTGAGAGATTTCAGCTATGAAAACAGACTGGAGAAGCGGAGAAAAAAAAAGTTGAGGAGATTTGATAGAAGTATTCAAAATCATGAGGGGTCTTAACAGATTACATGGGAATTAACTGCTCCCACTGGTGGAAGAATTAATTACCAGAAGTCACAGATTGGAAAACTGCTAACATCTTTATTTAAAAAGGCAAAGAGATTAAAAAAAAGGTAACTATAGGCCAGACAGCTTAACATCTATTATTGGGAAAATGTTAGAGCATTGAGAAGCCCACAGTCTAATCAAGCAGAGTCAGCATGGCTTGATGATAAGGCTTTTATGCCTGATAAACTTATTTCACTTCTTTGAGGAAGTCACACGCATCACAGATAAAGGGGAACCAGTAGATGCACTGTATTTGCATTTCCAAAAGGTATTTGATAAGATACCACACAGAAGTCTACTTAATAAGGATACATGATGTTGAGGGTAGTATATTAGCATGGATAAAAGATTAGTTAACTAATAGAAGGAAGAGGGTTGGGATAATGGGGCCATATTCAGGACAACAACTGTAACTAATGGAGTGCCAAAGGAATCAGTGCTGAGGTCACAATATTTACAATATACATTGACGAAGTAAATGTACTATAGCCAACTTTGTGGATGACACAGAAACAGGTAGAAAAGCAAGTAAGGGGAGTGTTTTGGACATGGGAATTTAGACTATAAACCAAGCAGATACATCAACAATCTATTTAGATAACAATACCAAGATTAGGACAGGAAAGGACAGAGTACACAAACAGGATCAAAGGGGATAAAAAAAAGGTAAAAAATGTAAAACTGATGGGTCTTTAGTTGAACGCACATGGTATTCCGAACAAAATAAATGCATTAATGGCTCAAAAACTGGTAAATGGGTCTGATCTTCAAGTCATTACAGAGCCACGGTTATAAGAAGTCAAAACAGTGAACTAAATATTCAGGGGTATGCAACTTTTCGAAATGAAAAGCAACAGGAAAGGTTGATGGGATAGCACTGTTGGCACAGGATGGAATAAATACATGAAAATAAATGAACTTGGATCATAAAACATACAATCCATACGGTTGGAGGCAACATGACACTGGTAAGAGTAGTCTATATGCACCCTAATAGTAAATATATGGTGAGACAGAGAATAGATCAAGAAATAACGAGGGCAGGAAATAATGAGGGCAGGTAACAAAGGCAGGTAACATTGATCATGCGCGACTTTAATCTTCATGTAGACTGGGACAGTCAGATGGACAGAGGTAGCCACAAGGAACTATTCAGAGTATACTTGGGATAGTTTCTTAAAACAATATATTCTGGGTCCAGATAGGGATCAGGCTATTTTAGATCTGGTGATGTGTCATGAGGCAGGTTTAATAAATAACTTCAGCGTAGAAGACACCCAGAAAACAGCTGAAGAGCTGGCTGAAATGGACTGGAAAAGGCCGTTAGAGGCAGTTAAGGAACAATTGCAGACATTTAAGAAAATAGTTCATGGGTCACAGCAAAGACACATCTCTGTGAGGAAGAAGAATTCTTGGAAGGGGTAATTTAGGAATAGCATCAGAATTAAAAACAAACATAGAATGTGGCAAGGATCAGTGGAAAGCCGGAGGACTGGGAAAGTTTTAAAAACCAACTAAAGGTAACCAAAACAAAAAGAGGGAGACGATAAGTTGTGAGGGAAAATTTATAAGTAACATTGAAAGAGATAGAAAGAACTTCTTGAAATGAATTAAAAAAAAGCCAAATCAAACATAGGACCCTTCAGGGATTGAGGCTTGGAAAATAACAACAGGGAACCAGAAACTGGCAGATGAATTGAATAAATAATTTGCATCAGTCTTCACAGTAGAAAACCTGAAAATCATTCCAATATTACTAAATAATCAATGGAACAAGAACAGTACAGGAAATAAATAGAATAACCATCACTAAAAAAAAACTGCCAGGGAAACTAAAGACACTAAAGACTGATAAGTCCCTTAGAATCAATGGGATGCATTCTAAGTTATTAAAGGAAGTAGCTGCAGAAAGAGTGATGCACTTGTGGTAATCTTCCCAGAATCCTTAGATTCTGGAAAAGTTCCAGCAGATTGCAAACTGCCAATTTAACACCTTTATTTAATAAAAGGAAAGGAGATTTAAAAAAGGTACCAATAGGCCAGTTTTAGAGGCGATAACAAGCAGGATAGATAAGAGGAAGCAGTCAATGTAATAGTTAGATTTCAAAAGGCGCTTGATAAGTTACCACACATTTGGTTACTTGGTAAGATAAAAGCCCATGGCATTGGAGTTCATATATTAGCATAGATGGAGGATTTGCTAATTCAAGACAGAGAGCTGCGAAAAGTTGGGGGCCATTTTCAGGACGGCAACCTTTAAATAGTGCAGCGGCAGAGGGATCAGTGCTGGGGCCACAATTATTTACAATATATATTGCATTGGATGGGGAACATAAATATACCATTGCCAAGTCTGCAGATGACATAAAAATAAGTGGGAAGGCCAGTACTGTGGATGACACAGAATCTGCAGATGGATATAGACAAATTAAACGAGTGGGCAAAAACTTGGCAGATAAAATATAATGTGCGGATATGTGACTTTGGCTGGAAGAAGAGCTGAATGTTAGTTATTGGGGAAAGACTTCAGAAAGCTGTAGCAGAAGGATTTGGAGGCCTTACTGCATGTATCACAAAATGCTAGCATGCAGGTTCTGTGGGAATAAGGAAGACAAATGTAATGTTGACCTTTTCTTTCAAAGCAAAGGAAGTATAAAAATAGGGAGGTCTTGTTAAAATTTTACATGACACTAGTCAGAGAACACACCTGAATAGTTCAGATCTCCTTATCAAAAAAAAAGTAGCATTAGAGGCAGTCTAGAGAAGCTTCATTAAATTATCCTGGGAATGGAGGGATTTTCTTATCCGAGTATTTTGAGCTTGTACTCATTGGCCTTTAGGAGAATGAGAGGAGACCTTATTGAATCATAAATTCAATTAGGGGGGCTTGACAGGGTAAATGCTGAGAGGCTACTTCCCCTTGTGGGAGTGTCTAGAACTAGAGGGCAAAATCTCAGATAAGGAGTCAGCCATATAAGAAAGAGACGAGGAGTTTTTTTTTTATTCTGTCAGCGGATAGCGAGAGTCCGAGGAATTCTTTACCACAATGGATGTTGAGGCAGAATCAATAAGTTTATTCGAGGTTGAGATGGACAGATTCTTCATCAGCAAGGGAATCAGGGGTTAGGGTAAAAGGCAGGAAAGTGGAGTTGAGGATTAGCAGATCAACCATGATCCCATTGAATGGTGGAGCAGACTCAATAGGCCGAACGATCTACTTCTGCTCCTAAGCCTTGTGGATTTAAGGTAATTGGCAAATATATTAATGGCTACAAGAGAAAACACATTTTATACAATCAATCAGTGCTTAGGATTTGTACTGCAGTGCCTAACAGAATTGTTGAGGTAGGTTCAATCAAGGAAGTTGAATAATTATCAGAAAAATGTGCTGGGCTAATTGAGTGAACTAAACAATGCATTGATAATTGCAGTTTTTAATTCATAAATTGTTGTTTACTAAAAAAAAGTGCATTAGAAATTTCAAAAAAAATGAAGGGCATGAGTTACTCAGTTCACTGATGAATATCCATGCTTTTTTACAGGGAGGCGAACAGAAGAAATTTGAAGAAAAACATGCATTTTCTCGCTATGTGTTAGACAGCAGCTTTGGCAGGACTTGTTAAAGAAGTCCATTTCTGCTTTCATATAGGCACTTGAGCCAGCGAGACTGTTAAAAAGAGAAAGGGAGGAATAGTTAAATAGCATGTACTCATTACATACATTTAAAGTCTACAGTAATTTATTACTGAAATGTTTATAGCAAAAGTAACTGGGTCTCTTTCATGCACACTCAGAAATACAACATATTGCTATCATGGCCTCATGGAAGCTATGGAACATAAGTTTTCTTACCTTTAATATAACCTTTGTCTCGGACAGCTTGGAGTGTTGGTCTGCGTGTCAGGAACTTCTTCAATTTTGTTTTTGTCTTTTTTTGATCTGCATTATCTATACTACTAGATTTTATTGCTGCAATAAACAAAAACAAGCAAAATAAAAATTAACTTGCAAAGTCAATAAAATTACAAAATATTTATATCACATTTAAGAGACGGATGTAAATTTTTAAATGTTCTTTCTTAGAGAATGATGTTGCGCAATTCTACCATTGAAAAGTTTGTCAGAAGTTGTTATCAACAGTTCATTGGTCACACGTACTAGTTAGAAAGGAAAGATGGTGAGGTTGAAAGATAAGGGACAGCAGGAGTCCAAGATGCTAACTGAAGATAATCACATCACTTTAAAGGAGTTAAGGTATTGCTGTGCTAAGTTGAGGAAGAGATGACTGAAGAGGAGACAAAAGGGCACAGAGAGAAAGACAGAATAGCTGCGGTTATCCTCTGTTGGACAATGATGTTTTTGCACATGAGGCATGTGTTTTTTTTCCCCCATGAAAATATAAATGTCTATTTCTTCTAAGCGCCCAAATAAAAGCTGATACAAGTGACATTAATATTGCATAATAAAGCAGGGAAAAATAGGAAGTATTGACCTTTAATAAGGCTTTCCATTATCATAGTCATTATAGAAATTGAAATCACAAGAGACCAATGTACCTTTATTAACAGAAAACAGTTGTGGACTTCAATTAACATGTTTTACACATGGGACATGAAGAACATTAATTTACAAACTCCCTGTCAAAAGTCTAATCAATAAATGGAGCAGTGTAGTATGGGTAATATTATGATTACTCTTGCGTGCAAGGTATCTTTGCTACTAATGAAACTATTCAGTATTCTTGCAAATACATTAAACGTGGAGAGAAATTTCATACAAATGCATTTGTTGTTAATATTGCATAATTGGGATTTCAACACTAATTCCCCTTTTTAGGCTGTTGCAAAGATTGTGCTTGCAGGGAGAACAATAAGAAAGAGTCAATTCCACCTTTATTTTGTGGACTGAAATAATAACATTTAATCTGCTTTTATGAAATTATTGTTTTATGACTTACGCCGTGACTTCTTCAAATCTTTATTAGTTTTATCCTTATCATGTTTTTCAATTCCAGGGGACTCTGGAATATCATCTTCAGTGGCTTCATCAGACTCCACCGTCTGCAACAAAATTGGTTGTCAGTTGCAAATCAGTTTTTACATTTGGTTAATAGTTTATTGGTGAATCAGTAAAAACAACTGAAATTATTGCCGCGCAAAAAAGACAGAGAAAGCAAAATGTCTGATCTGAATACACACCTGACTACCAATTGTTTCCTCAAGAGCTTTATACCATTCATTGATGAGATGGTCATTGTCCAGCTGAATCAATATCTCTGTTCCTTGACGTGTTTTAAGCTGGAAAACAGCAAGTTCTTTTCATAAATGACATGTACAAGTTCATATTAATGCATACCATTGATCACTAATAACATTAATTTAATACAGTGCCTGGATTACCTTGTACTTCGCTGTTCTACAGATTAAGCCTCATTACTTTAGTATAAGTGTACAACAATTCTCTTAACCCTGAGAAAATTCAATCATATCATTGTTACTGCTATCTAGGTGTACCTTCTCTGCGAGATCATTAACAAATCCTCCCACACAATACCAGGTTTGGAATAGCCTGCTCTCTGGTCAGCTCTAGAATGTGCTATTCTGGGAAACTATCCCAAAACAATTTCATGAACTGGCTAGAATACATTTGCCCAGCTGATTTTTACAGTTTCAGCATAGATGAAAATCCCCTATGATTATTCCTATACCTGTCTGACAAACTCCCATTATATTTTTCTTTTATAGTACATATTAATACCTGGTTAATGTTAAGGGACTTCATACCAATTCTCGCCTTTATCATTTCTCTCCAAACTGTTGTCACATCTTGCTTTCCTGAACTTTAATAATAGTCTCTCTCTTTATTGTGAAAACACCATGATTAATTAACAGAGCCACCCCTCCACTTTTTCCTGGCTTCCTGTTATTCACAAATGTCCTACAATCTTCAATATTCAGGTTTTAATCTATGTCATCTTGCAGCCATGTCTGTAATGGATATCAAATCATAACTTTGTAGTTCTATTTGCACTATCAGGGCATCTGTTTTGTTTCAAAAGTTACATACAGTTAGGGCTTTTTGCTTTGTCCTATTACATGTTTGTAACCTGTAGCCTTGTCTGTTGACTTACACTTAGATTTGTACTCTCTCTTCCTGTCAAGATGTTTATCATTTCTTGAATACCTTTCTGTCTGGCATTGTTTATACTCTTTGCTTTACAATTTCTTTCAAAATTGGAGTCAAGCCCTTGCTCTCAATTTTTAGTTTGAAACCTTACCACACCCTTAGTCATGCAGCCTCAACATGCTTTAGGTGTAGGGCATCAAAATTGTACACATCACATTCTCCCCAATATCAGTATCAAAACCCCACAAACTGGAACCCACTTATCGCACCAATCTTTGCGCCATGGGTTCAATTCTCTTGTCTTACTAACATTATGCCTATTTGCTTGTGGCTCAGGTAACGAGAGATTATTACCTTTAGAAACTATGCTTTTTAATTTGATGCCTAGCTCCTCATACCATCCGTGCAAAATCTCTTTCTTTGTCCAGCTTATGTCACTTGCACCTAAATGGACAACGATGACTGGACTTACACTTCCAGATTCTTCCCCCGTTCTGAACAGATGTCCAACACCCTTGCACTAGGCAGGAAACACAGTTTTTCTGACTCTCACTCTTTGCTGCAGATAATAGGGTCATAATCTCACAATACTGATCCTTGGAGGGGTTACAGAGGAGATTTGTTAAGATGTTGCCTAGGTTGGAACATTTCAGCTATGAAGAGGGGCTGGATAGGCTTGGGCTGTTTTCTTTTGAGCACAGAAGGCTTAGGGGTGGGGGTATGATTGAGGTGTATAATATTATGATGGGCGTGGATAGAAAGCAGCTGTACCCATTACCTGAAGGATCAATAATGAAGGGTATAACTTTAAGGTGAAGGGTAGGAGATTTAGAGAGTATTTGAGGAAAACATTATTCACCCCTAATGTGGTGGGAATTTGGAATGCGTCGACCAGAAGAGTAAGTGAGGCTGAAAATCATGTGGATGAGCATTTAAAATGTCATAACATTCAAGGCTATAAGCCAAGTGCTGGAAAGTGGGATTAGTGAAGGTGCGTCAGCATAGACTTGCTGTATGACTATGACTACATTCCTTTGAGCTCCCCCCACCTGAATGACTATCTGTACCAGAGTGCCATGGGCACCGAGCTCATCCACCATGCAACTTTCACTCTCAACTAAATATTCTGGATTCCCAGAGCTATGTTTTTATGTGTAGTACATCTTTTCAACCCTGATCACAGACCAAATCAGAAGAAACTATCCCAAGGAACATTCTGGAATAAAATATCCAGGTATCTTTTACCTTCTCTAATGCATTACTATCTGCAACTCTGCCCTCCACCTCAAACTCTAAGGTGAGGTTCCTTGAGCTGCAAATACCACAGACATATTTGCCCTAGATCACACTAGCATCCAGGAGCTCCCACATCCTGCAGTCGCAACAGATCACCTGCCCGATCATCTTTATCGTATCCATGTTGTGTCAAATGTTGCCTACTGTTAATGTAGTCCAACTATGAAGACTACCCATAAGGTACAGTTAAGTTCTGAGCTAGATTACATCAAGCTGTAACTTTAAAAAGATGGGGAAAAATTTTTTTTATTAAAGCCTCATCTCATTCAACTAAAGTGGCATAATCCATACGTTCTTGCATTTGTAATCTCTTCTTTACAGAACTAAACTCAACAAATTCACCTCTTGTTGTCCCTTTTGAAGATTCCACAATCCAGATTTCAATCATCCTGCCATTCCCCTCCCCATGACAACTAGGGTTTCAAATTGAAGGGAACACCTGAATCTTGTGCCTTCACCAGGAAAACTTGATCAGAGAAAACATCATTAATTTATCCAATTTATAATGAAACAAAATGTTGTTAATTCTGCAGAATGGAGAATTATGGAAAAATATAAGTCATGCTTCTCTCAATCAGCCAATTTGCCTTGATGTTTCTGTGTTTGTGAAGGCATATTCTAATAGACCTTTCCGTGTTAAACAGTTTTTGGGTCAGTACCATTATTTGATTGGCAAAACTAGTGATGCTGGCTCCCAAGACATTTCTGAAAACTACCAACTCAAGTGTTCACTCGTGCTTTGCGTTTTACTGGGGAATAGGTTTCATGCTACAAATATAAATGATGATAATAAATGAAATTAGAACATGGAACAGTACAGCATAGGAATAGATATTTCAGCACACCATATCTATGCCAACTATGACGCTATTCTGAACTGATTCCATCTGGCTGCACATAGTCCATAATGCTCTATTTCTTGCTTGTTCATGTGTCTGTCGAAATACCTCTTAAGCATTGCTTTGGTACCCGCTTCTAACACCTCTCTTGACAGCACGTTCCAGGCACCTACCATCCTCTGCATAAAAAACTTCCCTCACAGTTTTAAACCACCCACCCCCCCACTTTAAACCTATGCCCCCTACTACTGACATTTCCACCTTGAGAAAAAGATTCTGATGATCCACTGTATCCATGTCTCTTATAATTTTATGTACTTCTATCCTTTTTTATAAACTTTGCCCCTCAGCGTCCAACATTCCAGTGAAAACAATCCAAGTTTATCCAATCTCTCGCTATAACTAATACACTCCAATAAAGGTAACATCCTAATAAACCTCCCTTGCACCCTTTCCACAGACCCCACATCCTTCTTACGGTGTGGCAACCAGAACTACACACAATACTCTAAATATGGCTCAAGTAAAGTTTTGTAGAGCTGCAACATGGCTTGCCAACTTTTACACTTTATGCCCTGACCGGTGAAGGCAAGTATGCTGTATGCCTTCTTTACCAGCTTATCCACTTGCGTTGACACTTTCAGGGATGTCAAATTTGTAGTATTAATTAGTAAGTTACATTTACTCAACTCTATCCATCCTGAAATGAGTATCCTATATGGCACTGGTGTCTAACATCTTAACTGATCATGAGTCATAGGTTTCTCTGAATGACACTGCCAATTTTTAGTCATGGTTCCAAATCTACTGGGAACTGAAACTAACACTGCTCAGTCATTTCATTCAATACTATACAACCTGGAGAGAAAACACAGAATCTAGGACAAATTACTAAATGTCAAAACCCTACAGAGAGCTGGATTACAGTCATACTGGACTCGAAAAGGTAACACTCTCTCTCTCTCCCCCTCTCTCGGTCCACAGATGCTGCCAGACACGCTAAATTTCTCCAGGACTGTTTGTAATTCTATGTATCAGAAATTAAAACAGAATACTGAGGCGAATGGTCAGGGTAATACGGCAAAACATCCAATAACAGTAGAAAAAGTAATCCTTGATTGTTATCTTATAACCATGAGCTATTGATTTAAAGGACTAGTGAGTAGTAATAATTAATGCAACAATGTGGTGGCAAAGTGCCTACCAATTGGTGATTGGATGCTTAGAACATGGAATATAAAAAACTGCGCTTATAAATTAAGATATTTACCTCAATGACATTCTTCTTACTGGATTTGTCTTTTGAAGCCCATTCAATTGCAGCTCCTTTTAGATCCACAGTGAACTCGGGTTTGGATTGGTTGCCACCAAATTTCTAAAATTTCAAAAACTGAAATTGTTAACATTCACTTGGGTTATAAACCATGTATAAGATTCTGTTTTCATCAATCCAGTCCCCTCCCTTTCTGAAGTCATTGACTTCTTAACAAGGTAGCATTTTCTGGTTGTTGGTCATTCTCAAGCATTTTCTCAAAGGTTAGCCCTTACAATCTAACATCTATGTGGCATCAAATTGAATGCAAACCTATCCTCATTAGCATGCACACTTCATTTCTAGATATTATCTCTAGTCAAAATGGCTTAACTAGGGGCATGGAATTATGCAAAGACAATGAGATAACGGTCACTAATGTGAGAAAATGGCCTTAACATTGTGCATATCCCACCTGTTTCCAAGGTTCCACCAATGTGCTCTGAAACCATATTCATGATAGTTATTATAATCAGAATTTAAAGGAGCTCTGATGGTATAATTTATACCCATATAGCCTCTTGCAGTTCTAAAATCAATTCTGCCCTATTAAAAACAAAATTTCTTAAAACCACTAATTACTTGTATCTAACTTTTAATTACATTAAAACTTAATTTTTATTGTGCAATTCAAAATGCAATGAGACCTACGGATGTGAGCTTTCTTAAATGTGTGCTCTTATAATCACAAAACACTGACTACTTATCGCTATATTATACTTTTCAAAATAATTTCAACCTCCACATATAATAGGGGCTGTTTTCATTCCACATGGTAATACCAGAGTCTCTGTAGGGAGGTGGCATTGCTGAATGTGAATGGTAAGATTGATTCTACAGTTTTCGAAACAAAATAGTAGCTAAAATCCCCTTGACGTATGTTTACATCTTGAAATAAAAATAACAGTCATGAGATGTGAATGTTGCTGGCAAGTTCTGCATTTGTTACCCATCCCTAATTGCCCTCAAGGTGGTTTTGAGCCTCCTTCCTCAGCCATTGTAGTCCATCTGGTAACTCTTTAGTGACGTTTCTTTATAGAATCATAGAATCCCTACAGTGTGGAAACAGGCCCTTTGGCCCAACAAGTCCACACCAACCCTTGGAGCATCCCACCCAGACTCATCCTCCTATAACCCACCTAAGCTACACATCCCTGAACACTATTGGCAATTTAGCATGGCCAATCCACCTAACCTGCACATCTTTAGACTGTGGGAGGAAACTGGAGTACCCGGAGGAAACCCACGCAGACACGGAGAGAATGTGCAAACTCCACACAGACAGTCGCCCGAGGGTGGAATCAAACCCAGTTCCCTGGCGCGTGAGGCAGCAGTGCTAACCACTGAGCCACCGTGCTCAGTTTATTTAGCAGTAAGTAGCTTGCCATGCTGTTTGAGTGGAATTAAGAATCAACCATTTTGCTGTGGATATGGAGTAACATGTAGATAAGCAAGGACTTTATTGCCCTTGGGGAAGGAAAGCCAATGAACTAGATGAGTTTTATAAACAATAGGTGATAGTTTCATGGTCACCATTACTGAAAGTGGCTTTCAATTCCAGATTTGCGTTAAAATTATTCAATTAATTAATTGATAAGTGTTTAACTCCCATAGGTGCCATGCTATGATTTAAACTCATGCCCCAAAAGAATTAGCATGGGCCTCTTCATTACTGGTTCAGTGACACTATCACTATACCACCATCTCCCTGATAAACAGCAATTGGTTGAGCTAAATTTTGCCTTTTTTGGGTCACTAAGACACATCTTTAACTTATCAGGTAGATGTCAGCATGCCAGTTGACGAGAACTGTCTTGTTCTGGTACTTGGCACAAAAGACAGGAAGCTGTCCAAGCCTACAGCTTTCGCAATACCCAATGCATTCAGCATTTTGCTCAATCACATGGAGTAAATGAGACTGACTTGCCATTGGCATCTATGATCTCACAGCTAACACAGAAAGGAAAAATCTCAGTTACCACTTGTTTCAAAGACACTTGCAAATATTTCTCTGCCACTAACACTGGTTTTTGTATATTACAGCAGCTTTAGGTTTTAATCATTTGAGAACTACTAATGACACTAGAATTTGTGCTACAGATGATGCTACTAGAGTGTAAAGATACAAGAGGCAGTTACTTTGGCAAATCAAAGTATATGAATGAGATAATCCCGATTTTAAAGAAAAGCCATTTGAAGAACCATTTGAAATGTTCCATGAAGGACAGAAGGTATATTACAGTTGCATTTTTTATGTTGCAGACTTAATAGCCCAGAGACCATTCAAAGTTCACTCTGTAACTTCACCTTCACCAATCTAGCTGCTGCAAGTTAATCTGGGCATGACAGCATTGGTTGGAATGGCTATTGGACAGTCTTTGTAGAAACAAAGACTCATTTTCATACTGAGAACATCTTTTATTATGTTTTGTAGCACTACCACCACAGTATACATTAAGAATGCATTTTACCGTCTAAAGTTGGGACATCCATCAGATTATCAGCAGCAGTAAAGTTATACACCATGATGCTACGCATCTCATGACCCAGTATCATCTAGTTATTTTGTTTTTACCATCTAAGAAATGGGCAACAGATGCATTGAAACACCATCACCTCCTAGCCACAGACTATCATGAGTTGGAATTGTAATGACATTACTCACTGTTACTGGATCAAAATCCTAAAACTCCCTTCCTAACAACACCACGGGTATACTTCCATACATGAACTGCGGCAGTCCAAGAAAACAGTTCACCACCAGTCTCTTATGGATAACTGGAGGCAAGCAATGAATGCTGGTCCAACCAGCAATGGCCACATCTATGAAAGAATAAATAACTGAGTTCACCTTCTCATCACCAACAAATCAAATGTAGTACCCTCGCTCAAAGAGGGCTGCTAAATGAAAGCAGCACCAAACCTAGCTGAAAATGAGGTGCCAATGTGATGAAATTATTACAGAAGAAATATGCTAAACTGTGAAAGTAACATGCGGTGGGCCGAATTAAAGTGATTAATTCACAACCAACTGCTCATTCAAAGCTTGCAAACATTGCCGCATCCAGTCATGATGGTGCTGGACAATTAAGTAACTAATAGAAAGAGGCAACTCCATAAATATTCCCATCCTCAATGACTGTGGAGCCTGTAGCCTGGAGACTGTAGAACACGAGTCCAAGAAACAAGCTTGGTATGTGTGCAACCCTCTTCAGCCAGAAGTGCTGAATCAATGATCCTTTTCAAATTCCTCCTGGTGTTCTCACAATTCTGCCAATTTGATTCAGCACTGAGTATAGTTTCAGAATACAGGTTTCAACAATTTCCAGGCTATAGTGTTGTAAGTGGGGCACTCCACAATTGGCTAAATGTTTCAGTACAGGTAAACCCTGGCATCCACTCAACAATATGGGAAACTATGTAATTATATTCTATCCACAAAAGGCAAGACAAATCCAATTGACAACTTATTAGTCTGCTCAATCACCAGCAAATCGATGCAAGTAGTTGCCACACCATCAAACTACACTTACGCACCAATAATCTGCACAACAAATCTCATTTTAGAATCCACCAAGACCATTCTGCTCCCAACTTCATTATAGCCCTGGTTCAAACATGCAAAATCCACTGTCCTCAAAGGGTGCACAGTACACTTTCAGCAGCATGGGCCAAAGCCCACAGCCTCCACCAGGTAGAAAGACAATGGTTCAAGGTACATGGAAGACCTCACTATCAAGTTCTCCTCTAAGTGTCCTCCGAATCAGAGAAGGGCATAAACCAAAACAGCAAAAATGATAAGGATTAGGTGATACTTTTATCCTTTCAATGGCATATCAATTGTTAAGCTGAATAAAAAAAACTTCTACATTCCTACAATGTTGTTCTCAGTATGTTCAAAATGATACTGTGTAAAGCATAAATTCAGTTCTTTATTTTATTACAAGTTTACTAGGCCATACATATTTTATGTTGATTATTAGAATAAGTATAACAATTCCAAAAATGGAAACCAAACTACTAATGCAAAGAAAAGACCAGGTAGAAATTTTCATGGTTGAATACCATAATTGAACAATGTCAGTTTGATCTTGATGAGAATTCCAAGTTCTACAGTGGTGAAGAGTGCACCATCAATAGAATTAACACTAATCTGTCCTTACAGTACCATATCCTAATACAGTATTATTCAGCAGGACTACTGGCAGCCACAAGCATTCCTGTAAAAAAATGATAATATGACCATTTGCTTATGTAGTGTGTAAGGAGACAACAAATAAATTTCATTACAATGCAATGAAATAGGCATTTGTAGTAAGCTCTAAGTGATGTTAAAAGGCCTATTAATTTAAAGCATTTTTAAAGAAATTGCAAAATTGAAAAGTGCAGCAAAGATGTCCACAAACGGCTTAAACTTACCACAAGCATGCAAGAAGCAAGCGAAGCAGTCATGAGATTTTCTAGTGAAGCACATCCAAAATTACTGTAGACCATGAAATGCTGATGATATGTGATTATACAGTTTAACTATGTCAAGATGCATGCAGAAAAAACATACAGTGGCAGTTGGAAAGTTTACATAGGTGACTGCAGGTCGACACTTGACAGCACTTTTCCACGTGGCAAGAAGAGAAAGCAAGAGCTCTGGAACTGAGCTCCAATGGTAGAATGACTTGGTGGAAAGAGGGAAGAAAAGTGAAGTCAAAAATGGAAGTCATAAATGTACAATAATTACAATAGCAATATTTTCTGTAGGTATATAACTAAAATTTCTACAGATAATATTTTACAATACATGTTTTCTGAAAGATTAAATGATAACTAAGACTTATCACATGTTAGTGATATTGGGTATCCTGCATTAATGCAATGCCTCATCTTTTAAACTATGCAGTGTGTCAGCTATATGGGTAAACAGATCTTTATTGGTAGCTTCAATACAACTGACAAAACAGTAATAAAGAAAGTGAACTATCTTAACCTTATGTTAAATGGGAAATGATAACCAACCTTAGTGCAATGCAAGAAAGAGAAGGCGACTGAATGAATGATTCTGATGAATA